AAGGAAAGGAAAGGAAAGGAAAGGAAAGGAAAGGAAAGGAAAGGAAAGGAAAGGAAAGGAAAGGAAAGGAAAGGAAAGGAAAGGAAAGGAAAGGAAAGGGACAAAAGTCTCCCATCAAAGAACAGCTCAGAAGTAGATGGCTTCATTACTTCACTACTGAGATCTATCAAACACTTATCAAGAACTAATGCCAATTCTTCTTTGATAACTCTAAAAGAACTTGAAGAGGAAAGACCTCTTCCAAACACATTCTATGAGGCCAGAATTATCCCGATATCAGAATCAGACAAGAATACAATGAAGGAAACAGTTATTGGTCAATATCCTTGATGAATATAAGCCCAGCAAAGTGCTAGCAAACCAATCCAACATCACATTAAAAAAATTATTAGGGCAGGCCAGTTAGCTCAGCTGACTAAAGTGCCTGCTTACGCAAAGCGCAACAGCCAGGATTTGATCCCTGGTGCACCATGCCAGCTCTGCACCCAGGACACACTGAGAGGGCAATTGAGACTGGGCTTTGTGGCCTGTACCTGTAATCCCAGTGCTTGCGAGGCTGAAAACAGGAGGATCACTATGAGTTTGATCTACATAGTGAGACCCTGTACTAAATACATTAAAAATAAATAAGTAAATAAATTAGATTACTCACTATAATAAAGTGGGACTCGTCTTGAAGATGTAAAGGACTATTCAACATACATAAATCAGTAAGCGTGATATAACACCAGATGATGAGCAAACCTTGTAATCATGTGATTAAATGCAGAAAAGACATTTTATAAAATTTAATGTTTCATAATAATAAAAACTGTTGTCAAATTAGATATAGGAGGAACATACCTAAAATAATAAAGATTATGTATAATAATCCAACAACAAACATCACACAGAATAGGGAAAGCTGACTTTTTTCCCTCTGAGATGTGGAACAGGACAAAAGGGCTCACTTTTACCACTTTTTTTCAACCATGGCTGCCAAGCGCCCACTGAAACTATATTTTTTGACAAAGAGCTAATAACCAGAATATATTAGAAGCTCCAAAAATTTGATAGAATAAAACAAAAGAGTAAAAATAATATTGCAGATTGTTCACAACAGTGAAGAAATGGAAACCATCTCAGTGTCTACAAACTGATGATACATAAGAAAACACAATACACATACACCACAGAATGCTATTGCCATAAAAAGCCTGCCATGCATGACAACAGCATAGAACTGGAAATCATGGCATGAACTGAAGGCCAGGCACCGCAAAGGAAGCACCTTGTGATTTTACTCATGTGCAGATATAGGAACGGATCTCATAGAAGTTGAGAGCAGAATGGTAATTACCAGAGGCTGGGGAGGAGGAGAGGAATGGAGTGATGGGGAAAGATTTGCGAGTGGGCTCCAAGTTTTAGTTAGATAGGAATAAGAACTTCTAGTGTGCTGGTGCATAGGAGGAAGGCCATAGATTATATTAATAATGTGTTGTGTATTTCAAAAAGCTAAACGAAAGAATTTTGAAGGTTTTCACTACAAAATGATAAATTACAAGATAGATATGCTTAATTGGGTTTAAACATTATGTAATTCATACCTATATTGAAATATCACGTGGTGGTCCATGAGTATGTGTAATTTTTATGCTTTTATCTGAGTTAAAAGTATATTTAAATTAAAAATAAACATGAAAGATAATTATGATAAGATATATTGTAATTGGCTTTCCTGCTGATAGTTCTCAATAATCTTTATAGCTTATTTCATTTTAATATGGAAAAAAGAAATGTCAAAAGCAAATTGAACATAGACTGTGGTTAATATGCTCTCAAATAAAGCTCGACATTCCCACCACTGGTGGTCTCTCCCCATAGTCCTCGTCAGTCCCATGAGTCTGCGGGCAGCAGTACCTCTAAAGCCCCGTCGGCAGTCCAGGGTCAGCATGGAGTGCGGCACGTAGTTGGCAGCCAAAAACCACCTGTTACACTGGTGTGAACAAATACTCCACAATACCTGTGGTGCCATCTGCAATATAATTTTATATGGGGTCCAGGTTTGAGCAATTTCACAGTGTTCCTAATGCATTTAGCAAATACAGAATGTCAAAGCTATTTAAAGAGTTATACCCATTGTGAGCACACAGGGATTAAATGCCAGGTCTCTGGTCAGCCCACTAGGACTCATATTAGCTAAGTTTTATTCTAGTGCCACCTTTTTGGTGTGTGACTCAGGGCAAATTAGTTCCCTAAGCTTCCAGGTTTTCATCTGTAAAAGGTGAATAACGAATAGTACTTATTTCAGAAAGTTTGCATGAAGATCAAAAGATGCATTTATTATGTACACAGCCTGCATAAGTACTCATTCTGTACATGTCACACAACACGTGTGCACACACGCACACTAACTCAAACACAGTTCGTTGTGCATGGATGACGATTTGTTTAAATACACTAAGACTTAATTTTTTATTTCTTATTAAAACCTGTGAAAGTATTTGGATATGTTATATATAAGTTAAAACAATTTAAACACATTCACACGCAAAACTTAAGAACTACACTATAATTGCCTTCCAGTTGGATAACAGATAATAATAATAAAGCTAATAATAATGAAGTGACATTTGCATTAACTATAACAAAATATTTATTGCTGGCCCCGCCCCTGGGGCGTGCTGAGACAGCAATTGAGACTGGGTGTGGTGGCGCGTGCCTGTAATCCCAGTTTTTGGGAGGCTGGACACAGGCGGATCACTACGAGTCAGACCTACATAGTGAGACCCTATAGACCCTTACTAT